ATGCATTTGTGTGGACGATCACATTTATTTTATGTCTCCGTCTTTACAACAAACATTCTGGAAAATATAAGCGTTTCGTGTTCGCTTTGACTTCGTGTGGACGGGGCCTTAATCTTCTTCAAATTAAAAGAACAATAATAAGTCAGAAAGCTCATTAATTTATAGTTATTTTAACGGAAACCTTGATTTTGAGTTATCTACCCTTAATGACTTTAAGTTAGTAGTACTGTTCGGGTTTACAGTGTAGCAAATCAAATATTTAGTTTGCAAACTAAATATATATTTTTTAAAAACTATTTAGTTTTTTCAATAAATATTTAGTTTGCTGAGAAATGCTTTAAATTTATCAACGAATTAATGACTTTGGGGGGGGTGAGATTACATGGAAATAGGAACTTAATCTTCTAAATAAACATAAATATTGCTCCTGATTTTGGACTGCTTGACTTTACAAGCAGCACTCATATAGATCACTTATGTCCAGGCAGTCATCCATTCTTCTTTGCACAGCATCTCAAGTTCCAGGAGAAACCAGTACCTGTGTTTCAATGTGTTTCAATTACAAACAACAAACATATGAAACTAACTTTATCATGGGGAGAGCGATGCAGGTTAAAATATGAGAAAACAGGATAATTCAGATTTTTTTTATTTGACCAAATATAGTTTTTGTTAATAGTTCATATTCTCCTAACTACATAGAAAGTCGCTCCAAAGGAGACACTCAATGTCAGAGGAGGGGGCATGAAGAGTCTGACCTTGACTTTAAACTGGATGAGCTGTGTGCTGAGCTGTTCCACCTGAGCTGTGTGCTCCGAGACTACGGCTTGAGAGCAAAATCACCTCCACAGCAGAAATCCTCTGTAATCCTGGAAGCAATCTATACCAGGATTACACTACCCTGCAAAAATATTTCTAAATCGTTTTTGCAGGGCATGATGCATTTTAGTTTGTAAAACTAGTCTAGTCCCAGTCCCTTATCAGGTGGCCATAGAGAATCCCAGAAAGAAAAGGTGCAGATGCCTTATTGTTCCTTATGTTCTTAACAGAGCACTTCGCTCTCAATCTACAGGTTTACTAGTGGTTCCTAGAATTTCTAAAAGTAGAATGGGAGGCAGATCTTTTAGTTATCAACCAACTACCAGTTTTAGTCCGTGAGGCAGACACCCTGTCTACTTTTAAGGCTAGGCTTAAAACTTTCCTTTTTGATAAAGCTTA